GCATGAGATACGCGCGTGGGGGTCCCGCTCCGCGAACTCTATTGAGGAGATATGGTAAGGGACTCGACATGAAGAGCACCTGTGAACTAAAGTTACTTACAACAACAGAAGTTGAAAGACGTCCACCGTCGAGGAAGGGCGAGCTATCATTCTTTGTGGATCTGACGAGCCGAAAGCCAAGGCCCTTTGCAAATCGCGCGCGCCGGGGCGGGGGCTTTCCGACAAAGAGGCGTCGTCGGTTGGATGTCTCTGAGACCGCGGGTAGGGCTGTGGTTGCATTGCGCGAGGTGCTTCCCTTTACGACTTCGCTCAACGGCATGGGATCGCATTCTCGGGCCTGTATCCGTTTCCTCTTTTGTAGGTTACACTTTTGTAGGTTACTTAATATGGGAAGGATGGGCCACCGGTTTTGATATTCTTCGAGTACAGGAATAGCAGTAACAACCTACAGCCAGAGTTCAGTGCCAAGAGAGATACGAGTTACTATTGCGCGAGATACTTCAAGCATGAAACGTTCCCAGCGCGTTGGATCTTGTTTATCGCTGGGTTTTAACAGGTCAAGATGTTTCTCCGCGGAACCATGAACGATTGCCTATACAGACATCACCGAAAACATTGCTTTAGTGACGGCTTTGGCACTGTATTTCTAGATCATGAATACCTTGAATGTTCGAAATTCGTCGGCGGTCCAGTTCAAAGTGCTCTTGAGTTCTCTGATCGGGTATTTACGAAGCTTTGGTTGAGGGATCATTTCAAGATCGACGAGAATCTGCGAAGGAGATCGGCCAGTCACAGGAGAAGGAGTCTGTCGACTTTGCGGTCACTACTTCGGACAAGATTGTGTAGTATATTAGAATGTGAGGGAGTTGGTTGAACTTGTTGGAATTCCCATATTTATCAATGTCATCAGCATTCACACTGATCACATGCCTCCATCATCATGTTCGCGATCTAATCTTGGTCCGAATCGACTCGAGTCACTGATTCTGAAGACTCAGAACGTGGAGACCTTCTGCGAGAAATGTGCGATTGGGACAAACTCCTAGTCTCCAGTAGCTGACCTTATAACAGATGATAGTCGATCTGTTTATATAAGACAAACTCCGTGACTTCACTGCACCCAATGCCCATTTCTCAAATATGCTCGCTTCCTCGTCGTAAGCTATTATCGCGTTCCAAAGACGTACTATAGGCCTATCATACAAGGTATATACTTCTGTTAGTGTATGAAGCTAATCCACTTGCGAAAGAACCTCACGTTGTACCATGACATGGTGCTATCATCTCAATCAATGTTAAGCATATATATCGGTGTGCCCTTCGATAACCATCCGGGACTCCAGATTAGAGTTGTAATTACTATTTCTCAACCCCTTGAAGAAATCCACAATCCACAGAATCTGTCACTAGCGTCGCTGCTTGATGTGATCAACTATCCGTGTATGAATTCTTAGGGTCTAACGTTCAGACAACGGCTGTGCCCACGGCCATGCCAGTCGCACTGGCCCACACGGACGAAACAGAACATCTCATCCCGTGTTTCAAGAGTGCGGAATGAAAGGCGATCTTTAACTTGGATTTGCAGCCGCAGGTGGTGCACTCGCATAGTGTGCGCGCTCACATATTTCGGCCGGTGGCCACGCTAGAATGCAAGTGAACATCAACACCGAAGAATTTATGTCACCTACAGACGATTGAGTCTTATGAGGTCTAGAAAAGATCAACAGAATCATAATGATTTTCGGTGATCCAGAACGGAAGTTGAAACTTATCAAGAATTAAAGGTCCAATACATTCAGAACATAGTTGCTATACGGTGGGATATACGCATATTGGATTAGCAGAAGCGATCACTGACAAAATGAGATAGTTAGGAGTGATTCTCATAGTAGGTTGGAAGGGAAGTACCTCTTGAGTTTTGCTCGACGATCTAACATAGCTTCGGCTAACCGGCCTTCTTTACGAGCTTTCTTGAGCTAGATAGAATACAAGTCAATAACGGTTCAGGTTTTTCTGTAATAGGATATACCTCTTTCTTATCTTCATGAGACGAGACCAGACGTCCCGCTCCCCAGGTCTGGTAGAGTTGACTGGTGCTCGAGTAAGAAGTGCTTAATAAATATTATGGACCAGGAGGACTTACTTGGTAGCCGTCTCGTTGATCTTAGGGGTGTCTGACACGCCCTCTTTCTTCTTCTCTTCTTCATTTGCCTCCTTCTTGTATTTGCTCTGAATTTTCACCCAGAACCGTTCCCTAAAACCCACCTCATCACTATCTCCTCTGAGCTGCAGCGCACCCCCCGCGACTTCGTCTACGCTGAGGTATTTCTCGTACACGTTCATAAACGCAACCATACCATCTGATACAACGACTGGCGTCCACTCTTCTTGTGGACCTCGAGCGTCGCGGTCGGCAGATACCAGACCATGGGCGTCACAAGACATGAACTTCCCTTCCCCAGTGCCAGTGCGAAGATTGACTGTTGGTGAGCCAGCTACGCGGGTTGTGACCCACACTTGGGAGACATCTGTGGGGGTTCGGTCCAACAGCTTCGGAGGTTCTGCGTCATCTTCTAGTTTCTCCTTGTCTAAGGAGTGTAGGATAATACGATTTGTTGTCGAGTTGAAGTTTACACAGATGGGGGATGGGTCAGAAGGGTGGATGATGAACGTCGGTCCACGTATTTCATTGGGGTTTTCGGGAAGCACCCAGGTCTCAGGGTCTTCGTCGTCATCCTTCCGCCTACTCTTTCCTGATCGACCACCCTCTCCTTCTTCTCTTTTACGTTTCTTCTTGATCTTATCTCCCTTGAACGTGAGTTTCGTTGAGCGAACTTTGTCGGTCGACATGGATGACTGAATGAGGAAAACCCGCGGTGGCAGTGAGGACATGTGTCACGTGAGGTTCTGAAGTCAGCCGTGGGAATCAAGCTGTCCAAAGTCATCACCAAAAGTCCCCCCTCGTCGTGCCCGCCGCCCTCAAGAAACCCCCGCCAAAATGAAGTTCAACGCCGGTGCGTACCGTCCCAAGATCGTTCAGGCTGTTCTCGATCTGCGTTTCACCGGTGAAATTCGATGAAGAATTGGGCTGGATGGCAGACTTGACTTTTGGATGGACTTGGGATACACCAACGAGGATATGCTGACCGTTTTCTTCAGACGTCTCCTCCTCCCGGCGCAAGTCCCGCAAGGCGCACTTCTCAGCGCCCTCCTCTATCAGGAGAAAAATCATGTCTTCTTCGCTCTCTAAGGAGCTCCGTGGCAAATACAGTGTATGTTCCTGCGCCTCTGCATAATGGCCATTCCTGGATGCGAAATTTCGATTTATAGGCCCGTTCGCTACCCGTTCGCAAGGATGACGAAGTCCGCATTGTACGGGGCAAATACAAGGGGCGTGAGGGCAAGGTGACGCAAGTGTACCGCAAGAAATGGGTAATCCACGTCGACCGTGTGCACCGTGACAAGTCGAATGGCGCCACCGCCCCCATTGGTATCCACCCTAGCAATGTCATCATCACCACGATCAAGCTGGACAAGGACCGGTGTGTTTAACTCTGAGTAATAGCTGGGAAGTTCTTGTCTTACCGTAGATACCCTTCTAGCCGGGCGATCCTAGACAGGAAATCCACGAAGAAGACGACGGAGGCTTCCGGAGATGTTGAGATGGTCGACGTACGTCTCTCTCATATATTGACAGTTACTTTGCTCATCACCGATTTCAGTAATCTCTCTCTGGCTCCTTGCTTTCCTGCTTATATTACCACTCAAAACCACCCATGTATCTATGCCCCTGCACATGATATGCCATGACCTGCGCCATGTCAATTTGATGGAATATGAGGATAGCGTCGATTGTTCTGGCAATTGTAATGGTACATGAATTACAGGAGTCGTTATGCAAGGTATCATGACTGTCCAATTACGGCAAATTTACAAGCACTCGCTTAGAATATGACATCCTCGTCTTTGCTACTTAGCAAATTAGCAGACTGTCCCGCCTCTCCGTCATGTGTGGTCTCTGGAATCGAAGTTTCCGCTGCTGCAGATTGGGCTGCGTCCCTCGCGGCAGTGTCTCGTTTCTTTTTCCCCTGGACTTTCTTCAATCTATACGGTGTTATAATCAAACGAGTCCCTTCAGAGGTGTATGCTTTATTGCTTTACCCACCTGAAAAACTCTTCTCGATCCATTTCATCGAGTTCGCTCATGATGTATTTGATGGTATTTTCGAGACGTGGGATGACAATATGTTCAATCGCGTTCACTCGCCGATTTGTCGCTCGGATAACTTCGTCAAGGATCGTAAAAGCAGTTTGTAGTGACGCAAGTTCCACAAGTGTCTCGATGGCTTTCGCGTAGACCTCTTTCGCTTTCAGTACTTGCTGGCCCCCGCGCCCCAGGCCAGTCAGGTTGAAGTCTGCGCACAATCAGCTATGCAGAGGCGAATCGAGAAGGCTTCAACGCACCAGACCCAGGGACGCGATCAACTTCAAATGCTGGGAGAACGACACCAGAAACGTTCTCCTGCTTCGCCTTCACCTTAAACGACGCCTGCTTCGCCTGTTCCTGAACAAGATATGAGATGTCCCCAGTTGCGTAGGTGACTTCCGCCATTGAAAACGACTGCCAGTTGCATCACTCTGCCCATCTTCCGTTTTGCCTAATTCTTGATTAGTTTAGCGCAACGCGAAGGGCAGGATTATAATTGGCCTACCTCATCGACCTTCTTCAAGATTGCCCGGAATCGCGTCATGAGGGCATCTCGTTTCTTTGCAAGGAGGAGAATGTCCGGTCTGCGCCCCTTTGAGCCGCAGTTTGGTGTTCGTGAGCGCCATCCGCGTCGCAAACACATTTTCGCGGGCTCCTGCTCCAGACATTTTGAGTGGTGAGAAGCAGTACTCAGAAGGTGGCGGAAGGAAGCCAAGAATGGCCTGGTAATGAATGGAGCGAGCGCCGAGAGTGCACTTGATCGTATACGCACCGCAAGGATGAGATTCATAAGGGGGGCATAGCTCAGTTGGGAGAGCAGCAGACTGAAGTGTTATGATTTCTGAAGGTCCCGCGTTCAATCCGCGGTGCCCCCATTTCTTCCACCTCGATCCTTTTATCTATTATCCCTCAAATATTACAGCTAGTGGTCTACAATGCACATCATGGTCGCTTATCCCAAGCTCATTAAACTTGTGAAGTACAAGCAAGCGTAATACATCATCGTCCAGGCCAAGTCCCGGCCTACCCTTTTCAAAGACGCGTTCGGAAAGACGAACGTTTTTCTGAAGCATAAAATAGCATTAAGGCTCCAACCGTACTATCTATTTACCATATATATACAGTAGATACCGTATATGTTTACGTATATGTATAGGGCCTGTCCGAAAAATCGTCCTATACAGTAGATATACAGTATAGTATATGATTATACTGTTAATTTTTTCCCTACAGAAATCAGTGGCTTTTCTGTGGCCTAGGTTGATGCCGCAGTGATAGGTCGCAATCGAGGAGGTGTCAGAGAATGACGAGAGAATGAGGGGCGTTTTTGGACAATGGCGTAACCAAAAACACCTCTCGGATCGGGCTTGGCCTATTTTTAGATCGTCCACGGCGAGCTACTCCAAAATTGTAAGTTAACGCGTTCTGCGTGTTAGGATCTGATCAGGCACCTAGACGCTTTGTGTCGAGGGCCGATTAGATCACGGTCTATTTCTTTATCTCATACTTGACAAACGGCCTTTTAGATACAAAGGACCTTTATCATACATACAGTATATATACCCGTAGCTACTCGTCTTTACACCCTCAGTCAACTATACAAGAGACTGAGGGTGAGCCACTTACTTACTCACCATACTTATCATTACTGACGTACCTTAGTTTACATTCTCTCTTATCACTTAGGTACGATGATCAATACAGTCAACTATACAAGAGACTGAGGTTTACATTCTCTCTTATCACTTAGTCTATTATCCTACGGTATAGGATTCTAACACTGCGCGTCCTTATGTCATATCTCAGTGACAAGTCTCATTGTTTGTGAGTAGAGCTTCATGCTTCTTTTTGGACTGTCAGGTCAGACACCGGACCACGCAAGGAATATGTCCCTTTCAGATTCAAGCAATTCTCAACTTATATGTCCAGGTTGATCGGAGACCGGTCGTCCACCGCATAACAATTTATTGCTTAGAAGTTTGAGGTAGCTTTGTAATATCTACCTCCGTCCTCCCCCCATTGCGGATCTCAGGAGCTCCTTCAAGGCGGAGACAATCAGTCAAGCTCCCGTTGTCGAAGATATGGATTCGGTCGGCGTTAGTCTTTGCGTTAGTCACTATTTCATGTCAACGAGCCCAACCAGTTCCGCTCAAAAAGCATGGCTCGATGTGACACTATAACAACTGTCTACATCATACCGTATAACCATATATATACTGTAAATACACACTATAAAACTGTATCTGTATATCTACCCCCTCCGCCGTATACGGATACGGTACGGTTGGAGCCTTAAATAGCATACGAGGAACTCCTGCTAAGGAGCGATGCCGTTGAAAGCAATCCTCGACGACATACGCTGTGAATACAAAAGACTTTCCATTCATGATAGGTATGCATGCCCCTTAAATGGATCAAGGGGAGCAGATTGTCTGTATTCAAGAAAGCTACGGCTACGCAATCGTGTACTTGCCATAATTTTTTTCTGGATCGAAGACCTAGAAAGATTTAGGTCAGCGTTATCCATGTCGCTCCATGTACTCGTCAGACGGCTCACCTCCCATCTGGATGCTGGGAATATATGTTTATTCCTTTGATAGTAGCTCCTCTCAACAACTTTCCCAGCATGCGACTCATCCTTCTCCTTCGTGGCGTCCGCCAGTAAACGCACGTCGTCATGAACATCAAAATTGAACAGTGGGCCAGATTTTCCCTCGCGCTTTGTTGACGATAAAATCGTAGAAGGTATAGTGCTGGTGACAAGGTACTTAATAGAATGCTGAGAACAAGACATTGATACTGACGTGGGGTATGATCAGGTCCTCCTAAACGATAGGTGCATAGGTAAGAAAAGCGTCACTTATTGGGAACATCTACAAATTACCTTTATATACATCAAGTTGTCCACGCTTACGCCTCTGAGTTCTGGGAACTGCTGCCGGCATTTCTCGAGGAAATGGCTAATAGCATCTCCCTTTTTGCACTAAAAGTGTAGATGTTCATATGACACTCCAGCGAAAACTTGTCGTGACCACACTCACCATGACACTTTTTCGATGCCCACTTCCATCCCAATAAGAGTATACCACTTCAATATCCTCCTTCTTCGTCGTCTCCTGCTTCTCAAGCCACTCTAGTCGGAGACGCTCGCGTTCCTTCCGTTCCGCTTCCTCGCGTTCTCTGTCAGGAAGGAACGACGTGTCGACGTTGGGATTCTTGCGGAACTTTCCCCGTTTGGTAGGGGGCCCGTCTTCAGAACCTTCGTCTTTCTCCTTTGAAGACCTTTCTTCGTCGTCCGCCTTGGACGAACCTTCGTCCTCTCCCTCGTCATCTAGAGCGAATGAAAGAGTAGCCTTGGCGACCTTCTTACGTTTCTTCATTTTCCTTGTCTCGTCTCTAAACAGATTCTCCACAACCTATAAGCCATCCGATTTCATAGGACCCCGCAGGACAGGACATGATGAGGAAGAATCAATGAGAACATACTTGAGATCATTGGACTTCGCAGCCTCCCGGGCTTTGGCTTCCTCCAGCTCTTTCCTCCTTTGCTGGAATTCTTCGAGACGAACCAAGCCGACCGTACTGTGCTTGAGGGTATCTTCCATGGAGTCATGTTGGCCTACGAAGCGGTTGGAGGATGGTCGCGCCTTTTCCGTCTCGTTAATAAGAGATTGTTTCTGCCGCTCAAACTCCTCTCGCATTTGACTACGCTGCTTCGCGAGAGCATCTTCTCGTCGGCCTTCCGCTTTGCTTGTCGACATGGTGCGCTGGTATTTACTGAAGGTGGTTTGAATTGTGGCGGTGCACAAATTTGATGACCGTGACAATCTCGTGACTTGACACAAATTTCGGAAAGCCGTCCGAGTCGCCTTGCCTTATGCACTACTGATACTGCTAGACGTCCGTCAACATGGTTCACATCCTCGGGGTAAACCTGCGGGACACACATGTCGCACGTGTAGGTAACCACCAGTTTCCGAGAACTATTTCTGACTGCTTTCATACAGTTTGCGCTCACAAAGTTCTATGGCATTGGCCACCACACCGCGCACCGTCTCTGCGCTCGCCTACAGATTCACGACAAATGTAAAATGAAGGACTTGTCACCTTATCAAGTTACTGCCCTTGCGTCATTCCTTTCTTCTCCCAGCACATCCCTGTCACCACCCCGATACCCTCTTGCGGAGCCTGGCTTCACCTCACCTCCGCCGAACAAATCCATGCAGGAACTACAGAATGAATTCAATGCCCTGAAAGCTGCACGGGAGGTGAAGAAACTGAAGCAGGCGAAATTTGCTAGCGTCGCGGCAAAGGCAGTAGCTGACCCGTTGAAGGACTTGAAGATAGAGTCGGAACTGAGGAGGATCATACGGGATAACATTGGGCACCAGCGGATGATTGGGAGTTATGTTGGAAGGAGACACGCTATGCACCTGCCTGTCAGAGGCCAGAATACTCAGTCCAACGCCAAAACGGCCAAGAAGCTCAACCAGCTGGATCGTTATTGAGGTGGAGGCGCGTTCCTGTTATCATTTATTGCTATCTCTTCCTAGTAATATACTATTGATTCACGACCTAAGTGGAATGAGGAGTCGGTGTGCGACTCCGGAGGTTGTCGTAAAGTTACAAGTTGTCGTCTTCGGCGTGACGTAACGCGTTTGTGTGACCTTTCTAACTAATGGCGACGACGAGCAAACAATACAAGAACATTGGCGAAGACCTCTGGAAAGGTCGAGCTGAGAAGATCGTGAGCCTTAATCAATAGTTCACTGTCTTTCCACTCCGACGTCCACAGAACGCAGAATTGTTTGCTCTGACATACGGAGCCCTAGTCGTCCAACTCATCCAAGATTATGAGGACTATGCCGAGGTGAACAAGCAGCTCGATAAAATGGGCTATAATATTGGAACCCGCTTGATCGAGGACTTTCTGGCGAAGAGCGGCATAGGGAGATGTGCAGATTTCAAGGAGGTAGGGGAGGTTGTTTCGAAGGTAGGGTATCTCTAATCATAGATTTTGTACTCAACTCACGAACAGAATCCTTCACCTGGGCATGTCAGGTTGGATTCAAGTCGTTCCTTAATATCACACCTACCATTACACACGGCGTCCCTCCTCCACCACCATCGCCGAGACCTGATAGCAGCATTTCCGCTACACAGGCGTCAGCTGGATCGACTTTCACTCTGACGCTTGATGAGAACCCCTTAGCGGAGTTTGTAGAGCTCCCCGAGGAGGTGTTAGAAGGTGGCCTTTGGTTCAGTAACGTTCTGTGTGGTGTGATACGGGGTGCACTGGAGATGGTGGGTGATCAGGGCCATTCTCCCCTTGCGGTAATACTCACGGGATTTTAATACTTCTCAGGTGCAAATGCAAGTGCATGTTGATTTTATATCCGACGTCCTTCGGGGGATGAGAGCACCGAGATACGCGTTAAACTTGTGAAATATCTTGAAGAAGAGGTTCCCGTAGGGGATGACTAGACTTTCGAGCCGGAGGTTTCGTTACGCGGCAGGGTAAGTGACACTCGATTGTTATTTTACTGCAACTGAATAAGCTTGTTCTATTAGGTATCTGAGTTCGTTTTCTTTAGAGTCTCTTGAAGGTGTCAAAGGCCACGAGCATCTTGGATTCTCCAGAGTTACCTTGACCACAGCTCTCTTCCAGCTCTCCCATTTAGGTTTGGGATGTTACTGGTGTTACGAGGGAAGCCACCAGCATAACTCTGTTGGCGTTGACAGAATCATTCACCGGGTCCCTTATCAAAGAAGACTGTAATCAGCGCACATCTGCTCCAACTTTCCAAGATAGCGGTATACCGTCTAATACCTAATAAGCATCTATCTCATCTGGGGTTTTCGTTATTTCACATCT